CTTCCAAAACTGTGAGGGAATATAAAACATTCCATCCAAAGAATTCCATTCTAGTGCTGAAGATGTTACCTAGCCCAGCAAGAAAACAACCAAGCTCAGAGAACCCCAAGGACTCCACAGTTCAACCCTGAGCCAAATATGAACATGTTAAATAAGTGACATGTGAATGAAACGTCATTACAAATCTACATCCTTCCAAAACTGTGAGGGAATATAAAACATTCCATCCAAAGAATTCCATTCTAGTGCTGAAGATGTTACCTAGCCCAGCAAGAAAACAACCAAGCTCAGAGAACCCCAAGGACTCCACAGTTCAACCCTGAGCTACACATATTCCCTTCTATTGGTACCACATATGGGTGTCAAACGCTTCAGAAAGCACGGAGATGGGAGAAATTTGCATGTGGGCAAACCTCCAAGGAACAACTATTTTTTCTATCTGAATGCCTAAGAAGCCATTCCATTCTAGCACTGAAGGTATTACTTAGCTGGGTAACGAAACCTTTGCAAGGAAACAACCAAGCTCAGAGAACCCCAAGGACTCCACAATATAAAACATTGTCAGGCGTTGCATCCATGGTACAGAAAATTAAGTTTTGAATCAACTTTATCAACTCCTTCCAAGAGATGAAAAATAACCGTATTTCCAGTTTTTCACAAAATGTTCATGTGTTCTTACAGGCTTCCTATATATCCTCTTTTATATACTTTTAGACATTTTCTATACAATCTCAACCAGTAAATTGTAACTCAACTCAGAATTTATTTCAATATTTGCTTCCAGAACCAGCTCCTCATTATTTTTGTTTATGCTCCAGAGGGCTGCTTTTAGCACTCTACCTTGCTTTGACTACTCAATCATGACACTAGTGTGGTGACTGGGTATTAGAACTATCTCTCAAAGAACAGCAATGCGGGGCACCTCCTCCCAACTGAAATTCTGGAAGGAAGGGGGACTGAGAAGAGATGGACTGGGAGGTATAAGAAGAACAGGTCTGAGAGGAGCTCTGAGTCTTAGCCCAAGGAAATCTTCCAACTGTTAGAATGACAGGTTTAGGAATACAAGTAACTCTTGATTAGTGTGGTTAATAAATCCCACAAAATTATTCAAATTCACACTATTCAAAATGATATTGCTATGGAAAATATAGTAATTGTTTCCAGCTCGACAGAAATAGGCCATGAAAATGTTTAAACATGTTTTAATATATATTAATGAAATATTACAGTAAAGGATAAAAAGAATAGAATTTAAATTTATGGTTAACAAAGTCCCAGAGTAGTTACAGAAAGCAAAATTAAAAAAAAAAAATCTGCCATAGATTAAAGCATTCCAACATTTCATCCTATTTTAGCATTGCTATGACCATGTTCATGTTGTTCGGTTACATCAAATTTTGCTCTAATGTAATAATAAACCTCTTCTTTTTCAAACTTGTACTGCTTTCCTCGGACAAATCTTCCTTTTCTCCATTTTGCACACACGAAGACTAGCAGTGTCTAAAACCCCAAGCACAACTGCACACGCACTCCCCTCACATTAACTGAATTTTGGGTCACATTAAATGCAACCTGGTATCAATTTACAAGTTGCAGTAAATCAAATATCACATTATTCAAACTTGTGCTAATCATAACCTACCTGTATGCTTATTTATAGCCAGGAAAGGCAAGCATTATCAGCCTACAAATGCTTTATAATATATAACTTACTAGAAATTATCTTGTTGAGAAAGCTAAGAAAATTCTGTTTATAACTCATGTTAAGTTACATAATAAAAGTTAATTTCTTTGTTTAAACATTAAAAAAAGTGAGTGTGCTCTTCTGCAACTTCCCCACATTATCTCATGTATCTGTATATGAAAAACAAAAGGGTTTCCACATCAGGAAATATGTGGGGGTGGCAGCAAAACTAATAGACCCCGTAGTAATCTCCCTGGGTTAATGGGACTACACTTTAATTCTGAAAAACAAGATAAAAAACGGACATCCACAACAGTTAAGAGTGTACAACAACTATGATCTTTCTTACCTAATTCAACTCCCTACCTCAGGAACAAATACCTTAAATGAGTTTTTCCTTATTTGAGGGATTATGATGAATTTGTTGGGCTCCACTGCTCAGCTTTAGTTGTATATTCTCCAAGGTTTTCTTTTAAAAAAAAACCTCTTAAGCATTAACTTCTAAATATCAGAGTATCTCTCTTATTTTCTCTCCGATTATTTAAACTATGCTAATATGAAGAACACAGGGCCTACATTCCTATATAATGATGGCCTTTTTTCTGTTGAGTTATCATTGTAAGCTCTTTTGTTAAGGATCTTACAATAAATACCACAAAGATATTATGGGACACAAAAGTTTTATAGCTAATGATAAAAGACAGAATAAAGTAATTTTTGGAAATATTAAGAGAATTCTGTTCTTGCTAAATAAACAAAGCATGAAACCTATTTAAGTCCTTCCTTTTATTTTATGTAAGACTCTGAAATGTATTTATATACTTAGTGATTTATGCCAAAGTGTTCAAGCTAGTTTATTTAAGCCCCTCCACAATAGAAAGACACTAGCTTTGAGGGAGAAGAGGGGAGGGGGTGGTAATCAGATTCTCAATATGAGTAGTGGAGCTATTCCATTTTCTGTATGAAATGAAAACACCAATTTCATCAACCAAATCATGTTATGGCTTAATATATTAATTAGTGAATTATTAATGTATTAATGTATTAATTCATTGAAAACTGAAGTATAGCTATATGGAACACTATGAATGTCTCATTATTTTAGAGATCATAAAACTGCATTTTATGTTCAATGTGCAGTTACACCTACTTTTTTTCCTTAACTCTATGTGAACAAGTTGTTTGGGATTATAGCATTCAGGAAGGTGAGATTTATTATTTTCATCCTGAAGCTACAATCTGGACAAAATTCAGCTGTTTTTGGAGTAGCTTTGACTTCATAAAGCAGGAGGAATTTCCTTTTCAACACATGAAAAGATGGAACAGCTGGAAAAGGAAGGGATGAATCTCTTCTCCTTCCATGATATTATGATCCCTAAAAATTCCTACTGTGAACACGTGTATTTAAGAAACTGTTGGTCCTTATACGTTAAGTATAAATCTGCAGTTGATCCTTAGGTTAAATCCTGAGTCTTTCCACACCCAACTATGCCTTAGAACAATGTAACAAGTTATAGATAGTTCCAATTAGCAAATTAACTGCAGCTAGGCAACCACCGTGACCATAGCTGAAGATGGTCACTCATGCTTTTGTCATCCCTCTCAGCTAGTTTACTATAATTTGCTTTGCATGGAGCTGCCTTTGAAGACCACCCAGAAACTTCAGCTAGTCCAAAGCACAAGAGCCTTCATGCTTACTAGCTTGTCGTGGTACTGCCATGTTACACTACCATTCTGGGAGCTGATCTGGTTATCAGCATATTTCTTAGTGCAATTCAAGGCACTGGTCACTGCTACCTTTAAAGTCCTACATGGCTTGTAGTCTGGGTATCCAAGGAACTGTTCCGTGAGTCTGATTCTGCCCATACAATTTGAATGGCCAGAAAGTGCCTGGTAAGCGCCCCTCCCTACCAGGCGGTGCACTAGCAGTGGGCCTGACAGTGGGCATTCCAGGCGAAAGCTCCCCTCTGATGGAACAGCCTGCCCCCATCTCATGGCCTTCTAGAGCTTGATTCAAGTTGGGCTTGTGGAGCCATTCGCATCTATGTTAATTTATTTATATTATGTATTATTATGTATTTTTTACATATTACTAATATCTGTAAACTGTCTAGAAATCTATTTTGGACTGAGCTAGTGGATAAATTGCACAAACAAAAATAACTAATTTTATGTAGCCAGTCCTGTAGCATCACTAATTGTAGCATCACATTATTAAGCAGAATATAATTTGTTTACAGCTCAGCGTGATATGTGAACCCATCAGCTATGCCCAAGCGACAAGACAGTGGCATATTCAGGGAAGGCTGGCTTGGTGCTTAATACTGGTTCTGCCTTTTAGCCCCCATGCTCAGTCCCAATGCTCACACATCAGATCTCAGCATCCTGGGGTTTTCATTGTTGCTACTGAACGCCAGATCAACCTGTAATAAAGCTTCTCTCATACATTAATAGAGGATGAGAAGGGCTGATCTGGCCTGTATTCCCTCTCAGAAATGTGTTCACCTTGGTTTCAAGTGTGGCACCAGCCTTGAGGCCAGGGTATGGGCAATGGAGTGGCTGTACAGTTAGGGTTATAGACCCCTGCAGCTTTTGAGGCCCAAATTGGCAAATAGCCAGTTGTGAGACAGCTGGTGAGACTGGGCTCTAGGGATCAGATGAGACTGCTATTATACCAACCTTTCTGCTGCAGTGTGCCCTATCTGATCTGTTTAAGCCTGTGGCTGGGTTAATGGTGGAGTTTCCCAGTGGTACTGGGGGGCTATAATCTGCCCTCCCTGCGGGGTGGTGGTGTCCATCATGCCATCCATGGACCTGACCCAAGCTGCTATGGGCCGACTCACTTGCTAGATAACATCTTCAGTGCTAGAATAGAATGGGGTTTGATCTCTGTTTATATACTGTGGCATGCCCTGCCAGTGTTGGTGGGGGTATGGGTTTTATTTCTTCCCTCTGGTAGCTTCTTGATTAGGGTATTGTTTACTGCTTGATTGTATGTCTGGTGATAATCTTGGTGTTGTTCTCTGCTTATCTGGGTGATGACTGCTAGTGAGGAGATGTTCTGGTCCTTTGTTTTCCTTTCTATTGTCTTTTGAATAGTGTGTAGATGTTATTTATCTCTATGTGCCTGTTGATGGCTGCCCTTCTTGATTAGGGTATTGTTTACTGCTTGATTGTATGTCTGGTGATAATCTTGGTGTTGTTCTCTGCTTATCTGGGTGATGACTGCTAGTGAGGAGATGTTCTGGTCCTTTGTTTTCCTTTCTATTGTCTTTTGAATAGTGTGTAGATGTTATTTATCTCTATGTGCCTGTTGATGGCTGCCTTGTTTGATACCAAGCCTCCAAGAACTCCCTCACATTTTTGGATTTAGCTTGGTCTAAGATGCTGACAGTTTCCCAGTTGAAATTAT